CATTTTGTGTGCTGTGTTGATGCTTAGGGAAGGAATGCAAATTGAGTTAAAAAAAAGTTTCAGGAAAAAAATATAACTATTCAATGACTGCAGTAGGATATGTAGCCCCAGCTAGGTGCTACTTTATAGGATGTGTAAAGTTAGACTTGTGCTCATGGAAATGTGTGTGTCACCTGTGTTTGCTATGAGGATATTTGGATTGATTAGGGTCTTTGGTGATTCAATAAAATGTGGGGGGAAAACGGTATATAAACAAACATAGATACCAGAGACAGTGTGGGAGGAGAGCGGGAGGTGGCAGAGGATAAGAGATAGGGAATCAAGGATGGGGGGAAAAAGCAAAACATACAGAAAACAAGAAATGGAAGATCATTTGCTGACAATAACATGTTTGTTGATGTGCTTGATTGAGACAATATACGGTGTACTCTGGATGGAAAATCTCATTTTGTATGCTGTAATGATGTACAGTGAATGAATGCAAATAAATAAATTGAAAAAAATAAAAAAACAAGTCTTATGATTAACAACCTGTATTTTTTCAGGTAATATATATCTATAAAAATGTAATTTGTATATTAAGAAGATTAATAGTACCTTTAATTTATACCATTATTGAAAGGCATTGACTTTTTCTGTTTTTAATTTCGGTATTTTAGGCAGAGAAGAGCACCCTGACCTGTTTATAGCATACGTTCTACTATGGGACTAAATTGTGTCCCTCCTATACCTGCAATTTACATGCTTAAGTCCTAACCCTCAGTGTAATTGTATTTGGAGATGGGACTGTTGGGAAGTAGTTACGGTAAAATGAGGCTCCGAGGGTACAGATAAAATGAACAAAAGTGATGTTCTCTCTCTTTTAGAAGGAAGCAAGCCTTCACCAGAAAGGAAACTGCTAGAACATTGATTTTGAACTTTAAAGTCTCCCAAAATTATAAGTAAGTGAATTTTGTGTTTGAGCTATCCAGTCTTTGGTATTTTGTTATGGCAGTGTAAGCAGACTAAAACATACTTTATTATAAGTATTAAACAAAAAAATATTGACATTTGAAAAGTATTTGACACTGGGCCAACTCTGTAGCCTACTGCTTAAGGGAGCAAGATGTCCCATGGCTAACTCCAGTTCAAATCTTGGCCCTGCTGGCTTGAAAAACACAACAGTTCATGTGGGTTCATGTCCAAAATCCTGAGATGCTCTCTTCTCTCTCTCTCTCTCTCTCTCTCTCTCTTTCTCTCTAGACACTCTGTCAAGTGCACACACTTTCTGGCAATTAAAAGAGGCACTTAGGGGCGGGCCAGCAGATGGCATAGCAGTTGCATCACTAGACTCCCACATGGCTGACTGCTGTTCAAGTCCTGGAACTGGTGGTTTAAAAATCATGCCAGGCATGTGTGAGATTTAATTCATATGAATAAGAGTGACTCTGATTTTGGGAGAATGGAAGAGAAGGAACTGAGGAATGACCATTCCCCCTGGGGATGATTTTTCACTTCCCCTTTCCCTCTCCCTGTCTGTCTCTCCTCAGTGAGTGCATGCACCCTAAGACAAAAATCTCTTTAAAAAAAAGAAAAAAAGAGACACTTAACATTAATCAATTTCTAAGAAATACACTCTTCTTGATGTAATTGCTTAAAATTGCTAAAAATAGCATTAAGTTAATTTTACTCCATCATCCAAATACTTTCAAAGAAGCTAAAGGCACATTAATTTGTATACTATTAAGTATCTTTATTACACTATAAAATGAATCCTTTACTTTTTTTTTTTTTTTTAAGAGAGAATTTTGCTATAGGACTTGTGTGCTCACTGGAGAGTCAGAGAGAGAGAGACAGAAACATAAAATGAGAAATCATCCCCCCTGGGATGGGGAAGGTTGGCTGTACTGCAATCCTTTCTCTTCCATTCACCTCTTGGGATTTTGGGCACACATGCCCATACTATGGTCGACTACAACTACATGGAAGTCTAGCGGTGTAATCATTATGCCATCTGCTGGTCTTTATATATCAAATGAATCTTAAAAATGTACATTATTGTGACCAGCAGGCATTGTGGTTGTGAAGGCTCTGGACTCCCACATGGCCAACTGCAACTGGAGTCCTGGACCTGGTGGCTTGCTTAAACCTTTTTGTTTTTCTCTCTCTCTGGTGAGTACATGTACCCTATGGCAAGTTTTTAAAAATAATAATAAGTAAAATTAAATAAACTTAAAAATAATATATATTATTACTACAAATGCTTTCTGTTTAAATAGTAAATTTTAACTTAAAAAGGCATCTTAGAAGGCCAGCCAGTGGTACAGTGGTTAAGGAGACTAGATCCCATATGCTTGATTGCATGGTTTGAATTCTGAACCCAGCTGCTTGAAAAACATACCAGGCATGTGTGTATGCATCCCCAACATCCCACAAGGAGAAATGGTAGAGAAGAGATTGCAGCGTGGCCATTCCACAAGGGAGTACTCTCTCCCTTTCTCTTCCTCTCTCCCATTTCTGAGTGCACATACTCTCTAGCAAATTAAAAATAATAATAAAAAAATAAGCAAACAAAAACAGATTGCCTTAGAATTCTTGGAAGAAAATGTTATCTTTATCATTATTGCACCTAATGCCCTTAGTCTGTTCATGTTTCATGAATGTCCTTACAAGGGCTGCCCTAATTTTAAACAGGAGATATACAGATATCTGGAAAGCTTGTGAAAATACACCTTCTGACTCCAGAGGTGTGGGATGAGATCTGAGAGTCTTAGAGTCTCATGAAGTCTCAGGGTATACCAATGTTTCAGGTGTGAGGATCAGATCTGAAAATCTTGCTAGTGTCAAGGTTTGTAATCTTTTGACATGACTGGTAGACACTGAAGTCACCTGATTTCTTTGTTGATGGCATCCAACTGCTCCTGGAGCATCATAGCTAACGTCTGGGCATCCGAATGCCCACTTGGAGAGAGGAGATCCATCGAGCTAAAAATAGTTTCTCTATCATCATCATCAATATCGGACATTTCAGTGTCACTTTCAAAAGGGTGGCTGCTTAGCACTCCAATTTGCTGAGTTCTGTTCCACTCATGATCCCCAAGAGATTTCACCTGTATGGTAAATGAACAATGTAGGATTTTTATCTTATTGATCATTTCAATGCAGCACTAAAGACACAATAAGAAGCATGCATGCTTTTATAGTTGCTCTAACAAAAGCACAGTTATTAATATGTCATTGTATTGGTTTAACAAAACTGTTCCTTGAGATCTTAAATAATGGCAGGCATTAAATGTAAGTGTAAATAACAAGATTTTAGTAGGAATACTGATGACAAACTTCCATCTGATTTGTAGTTCAATCTCATTTCAAGGTAACAATGACCATACATCTGCATTTGCAGTGTTTTTCCTTATTTCCAAATATAATAGTCTTTATTCACAGGTACACAAGCATTTCAACTTCTATTTCAATTAATCTCACCTGCATTTTTCTTATTACGAGCTGAAACCACAAATATTATTACATGACAAGTTACACACAAGAATTCTCTCCCCAACATTCATTTCCATAGACTAACAAAATACTGCAAAGTGATTTCATTTCATCTCTGGTTACAGGAAATCTTCATTGACTTATTTTTTTAGGATGAAGGCATGCTAATTTATATAGCTCTGTTTTTATACTTGATATAACACATCTTCCATGTGAATGAGAGTTCTGAGTAACCAATTTGAACAGCCCTCCCAATGAGGGAGTTGCAGGTAGGAGACAAGTCCTGGAGTTTTCTGCTTTTTAAAAAACTGGTTTCCATTTCTGTGATAATGTAAAATGAGCTGTATGGAAGTCCACATGATATGGAACTGAGTATTGATTTCAGAACTGATAATCTGTGGCCAGGAGGTGGCATAGTGGTTAAGATGATAGATCCCATATGGTTGACCACAGTTCAAATCACAGACTCACTGCTTGAAAATCACATTGGGAGCATGTGTGTGTGTGCTTAAAATCTCAAAAAAAGAATGTAAGGGACGGGATTGTGGCATGGCCATCCCCCCTGGGGAGTGATTTTTTTACTTTCCCTCTCTGTCTCTCTTTAGCAGGCACGTACATATGCCCTGTGGCAAAAACAAAAACAAAAACAAAACAAAACATAAACACACACAAGAAATTGAGGATCTAAATTAGCATTAGTGTTTCAAACTAAATTATTATCAAGTAGCACAAATCTGTCATGAAATAATAATAAAATAATGGAGTTAACTTAGTTTAGTTAACTTCAGTTTTTTGTTTATTCACATAGTAACAGACATTGAATGCCTATCATGTTGGGTTAATTTATACATGGCACTCTGGTATCATTAAAAACCATAATATCAAGGGCCTGTGCACAAATGAGGACAAATAGGTTATTGGTATTCAGAATACGTAAAAGTGGTTAGGGAGAACACACCACACTTAGGACACAAGGAACCATATTGCTTCTCTATAAATTATGACTATGTCACTTATACAACAAGAATAACTTAGAATCCTCAGGACCAACAGTTAGCATAATGGCTATGTCACTGGACTCCCATATAGTCGACTGTGGTTTGTGTCCCAGACCCGGTGGCTTAAACTCAAGCTGGGCAGGTGTGCGTTATGTGCCCAAGATCCTGAGAGGAGAATGGAGGAGAAGGGATTGTGGTGTGGCCATCCCCCCTGGGGGGTGATTTCTCGATTTCTGTCTCTCTGTCTCTGTTTTTCTGGAGAGCACAGTGCCCTATAGCTAAAACCTCTCCAAAAAAAAAAAAAAAAGGAATAACTTAGAATTCTGCTATTTAAATAAAATTTATCGTGATTTCTTTGTAAACTCTTTGAATAGTCTATGTTCATTTTCCTCAAAATGTTTTTTAAGTAATAATTTTCCTTAAAATAGTTAACTAATTTGAATTAACAATAAGCATATCATAGCTTACATGCCCTAGCAAGCCAAATATTTATCTGTTTGAAAATACAGCATCATGGCTAAAGCAGAGTCTCAGAAACCACACAAATCGTTTGACTCCATCACTCTGCTAACAGTGTGAAGTTGAATACTTAATCCTCCTGAACTTCAATCATAATAAACATAAAACTAATATAAATATAGTCCCCATTCCATAAGAGTATGTTCATAAATACATGGGAAATGCTTAGGTCAATGTCTAGCTCACAGTAGGGGCTTTCCATTAGTTATAGTTAAAACTATGTTATACTCAATGCTAGCGATGAATCAAAATTTCAATTCTTTTGGTGTTAAAATTCTAGAATGGATTAGAATATTGAATTAAAACTATCAAAGAGTCAAAATAAAAAAGATTAACCTTTGGCTCATCTCTTCGAACACCCATGCGTCCTCTCCGGGGTCTTCTTATTACTTTAGTCGTTCTGTAATCAGATTGACTGTCCACTAGGGATCCCACTGAATACCGCAATTCAGCTGAAGTGTCTAAATGAGTTCTGAAAAGAGGACAAATATAAAATATATCCAATCTCAAAAAATATTAAACTTATCAGCAAATTACTACCTAGTGCCTAATTGTCAATAAAGCAAAAACGCTCAAGGAAATAAATTTAAAGAAAGAAAATTGATGAATTGCCATGATTCTAAAGGCCTCTTCAGAAACTTACATCAGAAATTCCAGTCTTGGATTCATTCTCTAAGGTCAAGAGCATTTTCTCCTTTTCTTCTTTATAATTTTCAATGTGATAGTACAATGAAACAGATTGACAACCAACATCCTGGCCATCTTATTTACTTTTTTCTTTTTATTAACTATCTCAATATTTACTGTTTATTATTATGTTTTTCTAATTTTCTTGTTAACTGAAAATGTATAAACTTTTGGGGTCCTAGACTTTTCACATTAAAGAAATTTGGAGAAATTTATTTACTTTGCTTATTATTTTCAACATTCTATTTTTCAATTTAGGGACTCAACAAATGTTGAAATCATATTGAGTTAATGATCTTTTTTTTTTAACAGAATAGTATATGCCATCAGAACTATTTTTTTAGCTTTTGATAAGATATTGTTCTAAAAATGATGAAGAAAAATCTTTTGATAAACACCCTTGTTTCTGAAATCTGCTTAAAGAAGAAACAGCTGGAAAAATTCCAATTGGAAAATATCATCATACTGGATTTTAATAAACATGGTAATAAAGTATGCTGTAATCAAAGTGCAGAAAATATTTCCCAAGGCACATTATTTATGTACAGATTTACAGCAAATTCAGTTTATTGCTACAATAATGATGATGATAACAGAGACAGCATGCTGTCTTGTAAAATGAAATAACAGATCCATCATCAGTAGGGAATATACTTAAAGCTGTTTGAACTTTCTCCTTTAGTTCTTCCTGTGAACAAAGACAAGCACATGCATTTCCCAATATTTGACAAGTCTTAGAAAGTCGAGGCATAATCTAGATGTTTGTGATAGTGAAAGTCACTGACTTAGCTTAAGACCTTGCTTTGCCAAATGGAGCATTATAGCAAATGAACTAAGAAATTATCCCTAACGTACTTAATAGTTATTGTTTCTATAGCAATGAAATAAAGACTTAATTAACTAAACTGGTTTTATCATGGTGGAGCATTATAGCAAATGAACTAAGAAATTATCCCTAACGTACTTAATAGTTATTGTTTCTATAGCAATGAAATAAAGACTTAATTAACTAAACTGGTTTTATCATGGATAAGTTATATATATATAATATAATATATATATAATATATATATATATGATTAAGCTATATATATATATATAT